TCTCCCATGACAGGATTCTCTCCAAAATTATCATCAGAGGAACTATCAGCGTGCGGCACAACATCTTCATTATCAGATTCCGTGTCGCTGTCATATCTATTCTTATTTTTTTTACTTTTTATTATGGTTTTATTTGGTTTAGTTTTCTTATGGACGAATTGACTTTTGTTATCTTTTTGTTTATCTTTTTTTCCTTTAGTTTTACCGTGAGTCTTCTTAGTTTTTTTATTAGAAAAGTTTCCGCCACCTTCAGTGTCACTTTTCTCAAAAACTCTCTTTTTAACAGCTCTCAACTTTTCCCTTTCTATCACATCGTTAAATTGGGTTTTCTTGCTCTCATCATTTGACTTCATATGACTGTCATTATTAGGGTTGCATATTTTCTTCGTTGAGGTTACAGTAAGACTTTCATTGTAACAAGTTTCTTTATCCGGTGTCACTAACGACCTCGCCGATCTGTCTTTCTAGGAGCTGCTTTCGGAAATGGTCTGAAGTTTTCTGGAGTAATTAATATTATGGCAGGGACGTGTTCACTCTCGGTAGGACCGCGTGGCGCCCTTATGTGCCGTACTACGGGGCATATTGGAATGTCGTTTTGACGTAATTCTTATGGCGGTCTTGCTGAACTTTATGCTGATCTTTGGTTTGACGTAATAGATTAGCCAAAGCTCGCAGTCGAGGCGTGATCTCTAATACAAAATTGTCATTCTGGACTATGGTCCGGAGATCCTGGCGGGCGTCGTCTGGAGTGCGTAACTCTCAATCGAATAAAATAATTCGAAGTGGTCTGTATTCTGTTGAAACTACCAGACGCGGATCGCGATTTCGATCTTTTTGTTTCTCATCAGCGCGTCGCAGGCAGCTCCGACAGAACACAGACCAACTTTTACCTACTGTCTTAACAGTGCGTTTTAGAAAATACTACAAATGGCGCAGTAAACGCCATCTGTAGCACGATGCTACATTTTAGGATTACGTATGCTCAGAATTACGAATACAGACTACTTCGAATTATTTTGTTCGATTAAGCTAAAGTGCCTTTCACGTTGAGGTTGGCTACGCCGGGATTCGTTTTCAGCAAGTAGATATCCACACAAGTGAACCTTGCTGGAGCATACGTAATCCTAAAATGTAGCGTTTACTGCGCCATTTGTAGTATTTTCTCATCCAAATGTTAGCTGAGTCGGCGTGAAACCGGTGGTACTGTTGCGGGCGGTGTTTACGGCGAACAGATTGCTAGGAAGCACTTCGTCCCATTGAGTTTGGTCTTCTGGGGTCGCAATGGCGAGTTGCGTTTTTAGATCCCAATTCCTTCGCTCTACGGGATTGGCAGCTGGGTGGTACACGGGGGTCAGATCTTACGTGATCCCTAGGAAGTGAGCTAATTACTGCATCATTATGTACAGTTGTCACTGATCATTTTTCTGGGATTTCCATACATAAGGCTAATCTCGTCAAGGATGATCGCGGCGCGCAAGCTTCTGCGGTGACAATAATCAGTGGGAAAAGTTCAATTCATCGGATGGCAGTTTTTTCCACTATTAATATCCAGTGGTGGTTCTGTCTTGACTTCAGTAGGGGTCCGAAGAGGTTCCCGGCGATGATCTCAAAACGTTGCTTCATAGTTGGAGTCTGTAGAAGTCCAAAGCCTTTGGCACTGCAGACAATCCTTCAAGTAAGCAGTGATATCTCTTCTTATCCCGTTTCAAAATACCGGGAGGCGATACGTTGCCAGGTACGGTCCACTCCGTAATGTCCGGCTGCGGAGTCGTCCTGATATTTCCGCAAAATATCCTCTTTTCAAGATTGGTACTACTAACTGGGGCTCTTCAGCGTCCTTATCAGGAGCATA